AAATGTGTCATGCTAGGATATCTTGAAAGTGTAAAAGGTTACATGTTGTAGGTGTTGGGGGTCCAAGGCATTAAAATAATTAGCAGCAGAAATATGAAGTTAATGAATCTGAGATGCCATGCTTAAAACACAAAGTTGATGCGTCCAAAGAATCTAAAAATAATAAGACTCAAAATGAGGTAAAGCTAATCACATTGAAAATCTCTCAGTCTGAAAATACTGAAGCTAATAACCCCACATCTGAAGAACATGAAGAACAACCTGATGAAAGTGAAGTTGGAGAATCTCAAGCTCAGTTTGAAATTGAATCTGAAGATCGGTTTGACCTTACTTTAGACACTTCCATTCAGGACTACCAACTATTCAGAGATAGGGAAAGAAGGCAGGTAAAACCTAACTCTAGATATGGATCTTAGAACTTTATAGATTTTTCCTTAATTTCTGGTGAGCTCATAGAACAATCGGAATCTGCCTCTTATGAAGAAGCAGTGAGGGAACCAAAATCTAAAAAATTGGAAAAGGGCAATGGAAGAAGAAATACAGTCTTTAATTGAAAATAAGACTTGAAAACTAGTTGTGAAACTCAAGAATCATAGGATTTTCCAATGTAAATGGATTTACAAATTAAAGGAGATAAATAATCCCACTGATCCCTTAATGTACAAGGCCAGACTTGTTGTCGGGGTTTACCTAAAAAGAGGGAATAGATTACAATGAAATATTTTCCCCTGTGATAAAATATAAGACCATTAGGCTGATTCTAGCATTAGTTACTCATTTTAATTGGGAACTTAAACAATTAGATGTTAAGACATGATTTTTACATGGTGAATTGGAAAATGATATTTACATGGCTCGGCCTCAAGGATTTGAGGTGAAGGGAAAAACAGATTATGTGTGTAAATTGCAAAAATCATTATATGGACTTAAGCAAAGTCCCAGACGATAGTACAAAATGTTTGATTCATATGTTATCAAAATTGGTTTTAAAAAAAAGTGATTATGATGCTTGTTTATACTATAACAATGCTGAAAGTGGATGTAATGCTTACTTTTTGTTATAAGTTGATTATGCTTGTAGCTAGCCTTAGCAAGATTGAAATCATAAAATTGAAAAATTTTTTAGAATCAAAATTGGATATGAATGATTTAGGAAATGCCAAAAAGATCTTAGGGATGTTTACTAAGAGGGATATGTCTAAGGACATATTAACTCTCACTCAACAATCCTACTTGAACAAAGTAGTAGCTAAGTTTGGCATGAAAGATTCTAAACATGTTAATGGTCATTTTGCTGCTCATATGAATTTGTCAACTGAACATTCATCAAAAACTGAAGAGGAAATGAAAAAGATGGAAAACATCTCATATGCTAATGTCATAGGGTTTGTTATGTTTTCCATGATTACCACCAGGCAAGATCTAGCTTATGCAATTAGTTTTCTTTGTAGATTTATGTTTAATCCTGGTAAACCATATTGGGCATACTTAAAGTGGTTGTTGAGATATATTAATGGGACACTAAATCTTGATTTAGTGTATAAAAAAGGATCCAATAATTTGACCCTGAAAGGATATATATAGATGCAGATTTTGCTGGTGATAGAAACCATAGAAAATCTACTACATTCTATTTTTTACACTTGATGATAATTGCTTAACTTGGAAATCACAATTATAATCTATATTAACTTTGTCTAGTACTGAAGTTGAGTATGTTGCTATAATTGAGGCTGTAAAAGAATGCATCTGGTTAAAGAGAATTAAACTTCCAGCATGATACTCCTATCATTTTTACTGATAGTCATAGTGCTCTCTCATGGTAGGTCTAATCATATTTATTTTGCAGATGAAGTAAATTTGATTAAAATTCACACAGATAAAAATCCCTTAGATATGGGGACTAAAATTGTACATGTAGGTAAGTTTAAAACATGTTTATCTTTACTCAATACTGATAAAAGGGTAATTTTTTGCAAGTATATGGGTAATACTGTAAGATTAGTCAACATAGCACACTTAAACAACCAGGGAGAGTTGATTTTGTGACAATCAAGGTGTAAAATGTAGAGAAAAACGTGTTTCTAAAAAATTAGCAACTCTTTCAAATTGCCAACTTGGATGGATGGCCACATGGTAAATTCAGATTGTCTCTCATTCTTTAACTTGGATTGTGCTTTTTCATGTGGATGATGAGCAGTTGGATATTATGATATACGGATGAGATTAAGTCATATTGGGTTTGGAACGATTCTGAAGTATTTTTTCATTCCTGGCTCTTCGTTTGGGTGGCTCTTTCTCTAGTTTTTCAGTCTTCTTTTTGGTTTTGATCTGTGATTTCTTTGAGGTTCTATCCAAAAATTGCTGAGGAATCCTGTGTGATTCATATTGCTACAGTGTATCGGGGTTGTAATAGTGGCTGATTTTTTAGTCTGTAAAAGTTTGTTAAGTTCTTGGTTATTTTTTGTTAGTGTTTATGATTTAAGAGATGTTGGAAAGATCGATGATTAAATCTGGGTCTGATTGAGTCTTTCATGATTTGAACTCTATCTTTGGAAGGTTTTTGTTATGCTTAGTAATTTGGCATCCGTGAGCCCCCCAAAATAGGCATTTTGCTAAACTGGATGAACATTTCTTGGTGTTCCTTTTATTTTCTGCACTGTGGTTGTGTGCTAGTATTTCATCATTCTAAATTTACGTGGTTAAAAGCCCAACATACGAGAATGTAATGAACTTTGTATGTAAGAAAATGATATCATGATATATCATATTAAGAAATTGCTATTGCTCGTCAATGATCCATAAAATTCAGGACATTCAATACTAGATATGGTATAAGTATCGAATCTCATTATTAATTAATTGTACAAATTCAATCCAATATAATTTTTAACATCTTCAACTAATGCCCAAATGAACAATTATATACTTACGGTATATCTTAACATCACTCTTGGAAGTTTGAACTCGAAGAAGTTAGAATGAAAAGAAAATTGAGATTGGCCATGTACAATATATATTTGAAAGAAGTGACATAGAGGGAGATTATGTACTCTTAAATGATAGTTGCATAGGCGGATGGAGAGGAGGGCTGGGATAGACTATAGCCCGGCACTCCCCCAACTTATGTACTCTTAAATGATAGTTGCAGAGGCGGATGGAGAGGGGGGCTGGGATAGGCTATAGCCCGGCCCTCCCCCAGCTTAGAAGCAAATTGACTTGTAAAAAATGAAAAATTTAGCTCAAATTCATGGTGAAAATAAAAAAGAATAAAAATTTTGTCCATCCCAAAAATTAATTTTAGCTCAACTAACTCCATTCTCAATCCAAGTCCAATGTTCAATTTTTCAAATTTAGTTTAAAACTCTACAACAATTATATATTTATTTTATTCATATTCACGATACACAAATAACTCGTTACCAAATTAGATATTTTATTTCACATACATATATAAAACTAAGTTTAAAGAATTGACTTATAATCAAATTAGTTTATTATATAACAAATATGTTTTATTGATTAAAGATAAATTATTTATTTGAACAGTATGAAATGCCACATATTTGCCCAAGTTTAAAAGTAATTAAATTTTTTCTAATATATCTTTCCATATATTATTTATTTATACTTTTGAGTTAACAAAATTATTTATTTCGACCATGAAATAGATGTTATTATCAAAATAAGTAATATATTATATATTAATTTTATTAGTTAAAAATATATTTGTTAGAACTTTGTTTTGAGTGTCCAAAAATATATTGTGACCCACATTATTATGAGTGTCCTAAACCTAACATTTTAAACTAAATTTTGTGTGATATAAAACATCTTTTACGGTACAAGGTCATTGGAAAAAAATTAAATTTCAGCATACTCTAACATATCATTCTGGCTCCGCTCCTGAATAGGCGGTCGACTTTATGGTTTTAATGCTATTGTAAAAATTAATAATACAGAATATTCTTATACAAATCACAATCTGATAAGATTTGGAACTTTCTCCTCGAATAAAAAAGTCTCTTTTTCCATACCTTTTACGTGTTAGATGCACGACACATTAAAGTAATACTACCACAATATTACTCCCTCCAAATAAATTGGTGAATTCAATCAAATGATGGTGAAAAAGGTGCTTAGAATCGTTACCTAACCCTCTCTTGTCTCTACTTTGCCTATTTTATTAATTTTTACATTGATGAATATAGGTCTATTTGGAGAATACCGTTTTCGTATGGCAGCCATTTTTGTCCAAAATTATTCAATTCCTTTACTAGACCGCCAGTTCCATTAAATTTGTGATTAGTGTGGCCTAAATCTTTCCAAAAAAGAATATTTTACTCATCCGTTGCATTCGTGTAATTGTTTTTATATTCTTTTGGAGCAAAAGTTGAATGAATTGAATAGTCTGTCAACGCAACAATTCAAGCCCACCTATTATACTATATTCCAAGAAATTACGCGGTGGAATAAGTTTTACCTACAAATTTGACTGAAAAGTACTAAACAAAGTATTTGTTGTCCCATGTTAGTTGGTTGGATGATGCTACTTTGCCAGATAGATTTGATAGAAGGCTTAATATAATTGTATGTGATGGTAGATGATTGGATGAAAAAATTGATTGTATTTTAAACTGTCCAACGATAAAATGCTACAAGACATTATGTCAACCTTAATATTCATGTAGCATGATTGTAATTCGTTATTTTTATTTATTTATTATTATTATTATTTTTTACCATTTTCGTTCTTTGTACTAATCCTTTATTGAACAGAACAGCACGTGCTTTAGAAAGTCTTGTAAATCTCATTCAGTCCAAAAAGAGCAATAGAAAATTCATTATTTTCCAATACATTATTCTTCCCCAGCCGTCAAGTTTTTGTCTATAAATAAAACCTTTTGCGGATTATAATCCTAACCCGCCACAGCCCTCTATTCCATTCACAATCTGCATCAACAGCCAGCCTGCAGCATTTCCACGAGGTGTTTGCAAGAATGCTGCAATCAGGTGTATTGAACTATATAGTTCTGATTGTAAGTCTTCTGAAGTGGGCATGGGATTATCTTCTTTACCAGTCCTTCTTTCAGCCTCATGGGATCTTATTGACCGAATATGTCGATGATCTTAGCATAACGCGCTATCAAAGCAATAACGAAAATGAGAGTACAGTAGAATGTGCTGTGTGTTTATGTAGGATCGACGAAGGAGATGAAATTAGGGAGCTGAGTTGCAATCATCTTTTCCACAGAGTTTGTTTGGATAGGTGGCTAGGATGTGGGCACATGACTTGCCCTCTATGCCGGAATAATGTAAAGCAGCCTCGACTGGCCGTGGATAGCCACCATGAGGTGATATTGATCAACTTTGATGCTGCCAGATCAAGGGATCACTGCACATGGTGGCTGCGTTGAACGAGAATATCTTCTACCCCTTTCATTCTTTCTTTCTTTCAATTTCTTACACATATATGGCAATATAAAATATGTAACTACTACTTAATAACGAGAAGAGATTTCTGGACTGCGAGTTGAAGGCTGAGCACTCACATAGGCAGCTATGAAGGCATTGGTGCAATATATATATATTTTTTTAGTTTATTATTATTTGAATTTGAAATTTGAACATTAGTTTTAGAAGTTATGGCTTTCCTAACTTTTCTAATGTCAAAATAATATTATTTATCATTTTAAATGTTTGATATGCATTATTTTATTTATTTAATAATTTTAGAATAATAAAATTTTAAAAATAATAAAACATTTATCTCTATGCTCGTAAAACTTGAAATATAAAAGAGGATATTTCTCGTCCGAAAATATTCTCCCACAATGACACTTTTACTTATAGTACTATAGAAATGAAGCACGTTTTTCAACCAAAAATCATAATATTATCGCAATTAGAAATTGTTCGTCGACTTAGCAAAAGTGGTTCGTAAAAATAAATTTTTTAGCATTAACAATGTTCAAAAAAATAAAATAAAAAAGAATTATAACTATCTGCTATCTTAATTTTGTAATTCAACGGGATGGAAACAAATCTTGCAACATTACACTCCTGCAGAGCTGTCAATTTTGCGGATTTTATGAAAAATTATTTGCTAACCTTTTCCTATAAAAATATTTATTCTCCATAATGATAAAATTATCTGTCGACTAAAGCTTGTTTGGTAATGATCAGCTTTTGTTGTGCTTAAGAAACAATCGCGGTAAGCATTAGTTAATTTTTATTAAATTTTGTTTCAGAATTGCAATAATACAAAATTAATATTTTAGCGTTTGGTTCTGTACTGTTAAAGTTTATAAAAATATGCAATATGGCCAAATATTTTCTTGAGATAATGTATTCGATAAAGTTTTTAAAAGGAAAAAAAAAAAAGATCTATTAAAATCTCAAACTTATAAAAATATTTAATTCTTTTTAGAATAAGCTCCGAATGTAATTCTTTTTTCACATGCAAACGATTGAAAAATGGTTGGACTCATTACCTAGGGTAGTACTATGTGTACACAATGATGTACACAATTTTTTACGCCCCCCTCACATGGAGGG